GAACAACAAAATGAAATCATTTCACAGTGAATTCCTATCCAATCGCACAGATACGTTAACTGAATCGAGCTGTGAAAAAAAATCGCAACTAAGCTTCACACCATGTTTCCAACTGAAAGGTAAATTAGCGGTTCCTACAGTCCCAATCTGTGTGCACTCATTTGCCAATTTCTGTGGCCGCACAAGCAGACATGTATCCGACGGAGTCGATAAGCACCACCCAACCTCTCTGAATGATGGAATTCAGTTGTTTCACGCATGTTGCAGTCAAAACGCATGATTAATTTGATCATTTCGGCCGCACTATTCAATTCAGTCTAGGGGCCACAATGAAAGCGATCGCAATTCGCCCACACAATCCGCTCCCCAAAACAATCCAACACAATTATTAGCCATCCTGGTCAGCCAAACCCCATGACCCAAGTGTCAGGCCACATTTGGTCATGAAAAAAACGGTCATGGAGGCTGTTTTCTCTCTCTCTCTCACTATGACTACGAGGTCTCGATAAGCATCGTAAACGGACCACTACCTTGTACACCACAAATTTGGAGCGTATCATGTGAACATGTGAACATTCATCATGGGTACATCCATACGCGTACGCAAGCGATCAGACAGATCACGTGGAAAAGAGAAAGCGCAGGCAAAGCACGTGATCGCAGAGCGGTCAAAGTGGCGACAGGCAAGCTCGCACCCGATCGGTGTGCGTGGACAGCTCCACACAGAGGTTTGGTTGACTGAATCGAGTTGATTTTGTGACAGTGGAAGTCAGCGTGACATACGCGCGCGTGTGGTCGCAGTCAGTACCGAAAACGTCATTAGCCTGTACACGAAACATTTCAATCAATAATGGAATTATACTGAACGCTGAGGAAAACATCCCGACCTCAATCTTCCATTTCATTCTTAAAATATTCATATATGGAATGTAGAAAACCGTGTTCGCGATATCGATATATCGCATCAGGCGGTGACACGTGTAAGGGGATCATAGTACTGATATACGATTGGCTGATTACAGCTCAGTTTATAACAAGACTGTACTGTTGATTATCGATTGTCCGGTTACATTCGCTTGCTCCGTTTACCCACACATATCATCGTTATAAGGTGAGCTGTGATAATCCAAGCAGCTATCAGTACTACGATCGCCTTGTATACGTCATATTCCATTTCGCTTAACCCCACAAGCAGTAATATAAGATTTACATGAAAGGATTTGATTTGATTTGACTAGATGACCAATTCGTCGCGGAAATGAAGCGTGAGATGAAAAGCCAGGAAGCACTGGACAGTTGTTTCGACCTGGCTGGGTCTCATCCGTGCATGGTGAATACATCGACCCAACTACACGGATTCAACCCGAGACATCACAGGTGGAACCCAAGCATATTCCAACTGGGTCCACCGGACAGCTGTACTGTGCAAAAGATAAAACGGTCTAACTGCTTCTCGGTCATGGAGCGGATGATAAAATAGACTTCTCTGCTCAGTTCATATGAAAAGTTAGTCTAGAACCGAAGAAACTCAAGCTGGCACCAAAGCCCCATGGCTCCTGTGACAGCACCGGTGACAAGAGCGATTCCTGAGAACATATTTCAGCCTCGTATCGCTAAACATTACATAAATTGCATAAATTGGAACGTTATTACAACTTTCCACGTGTAAAATTGTATTGACTGATACCAGAAAGATGAACTGAATTTGCTAGTCGAACGTCTCACATTCGTCACCCACTAGTTAAGCTCGTATTTTCTACTCCTATGAACCAGACATTTCCCAAGCCAGGGAAGATCATTGTCAGGAGGTCACGTGCCTGAGTCTAGATCGCGTGTAGAACAAGTCATAGGACAAAAATATGCATCATAAAGAAATGGGTCTATGGTTTGAGGTTACTACGACCAAATCAGATGGAATTTTCTCGGAGTATTCACAACAAGCGGAGCCTCCAATTGGTCAGGGATTGACGAGCAAACTAGCTAGGTGATGCGTGAAAATTTGCAACTCATTCCGAGCCAGTGCCCGGTGCATCGGATTAACTACTCTTAGTACGCAATGAAACGTTCACGGTGTTCAACAAACCTCGATTCCCAGTCAAGCCGGTAATAAATAAACAGGAACGCGCATTACTTTCACTGGCCCAAATTCTCAATTGAACTCCCGAATGACAGAATTACTATTGTGGGATGAATCCGATCGTACAGAGAGCGAAGGTAAGATGAACTGAAAAACTCGGAAGCACTTACGTCTGTTTCAACATCCTGTCCTGTTTCATCGTCCCCGATCCGACTCAGGATCGCGGCGAACCCGGTACCTCACAGATAGAACACACATACTACCAAGGAGACTATCAAGTTACTAATCAGTTTGTTTCACTTACTCCTCGTCTACACGAAACAGTGAAATCTGTTGTTGCAAATGAAGTCACCACTTAAACACCACCCAACTCATCCCCGTTTAGAGTACGGAAGGGGTTTTATGCGTCAATGTTTGCCTAGAAACAGACTGTAGAACCCATCCCGGGTCGTGAACTACGCAAACCCAAACTAAAGCGGGGAGATATAAAAAAACTGCTGAAACAATTGTCACGGAAACCGGTTGCACACAGGATGCTTGCACTTATCAACGAGTGTAACAGTCAACAGATCAGTGCACAACAGAGATCACAAGTCCATCATGAAGCAATAAACTATATGGCCAGTAATGATTGCGCAACAGTGGAACCGTTCTGGGGGCTCACCATACCATACACCCATATGGTGTGTGTTTGGACCTCAAAATGGTTTCAAATTGCAAACATAAGTTTGCTCAATGGAAATGTCATTTCGACCTCAAATTGTAAATTGTCCTTGTATTTTAAAACCATTTGTACCCTGAAATCACTACGCAGGTCACTGAATGGTCCATTGTTTAGGCTTTTTCAGTTTCAGCACTAAGTGTTCCACGTCTAGCGGGTGACCGAAGGAGGGGGGCCGTTTCGCTATTTCGCAATTTCTTTTGGATTAACCTGGTCACTCATTTCGTTTTTGAGCGCACACATCGAGTTCTGGTGACCCGTTTGTGTCTTGTCGCTGATCAAGCTGTGCTGACCAGCCCGGACGATACTCATCGTGTTCGACGCATTTGTATGGTAGTGGGTTTCGTGGTTCTGCGTATGTGACATACAGAACGCTACACAACAGAACTGATGTAGATTACATGTGTGTGTGTGGTCTTATAGTTATCGTGCTTCCAAAAGACCAGTGCTGACTTGAGGAGAATTTTTATCACGAACCACAGTTATGGTATGGATAAATTGGTGTATGTCGTCATAACAAGACTTCTCCTTTGGGAACATGTGATCAAAAGTCTGCAGTTATCACTTTTCAACATAATAAACGGCTGTAGGAGGTCTTGTTCATTTTTGACCGTTGTGAGAAACCGCCAATCACATTCCTTTGTGCGATCAAACAGTACTACTCACAAATGTGAGTAGGACCTCACAACACAGAGAGTGCAGTAACGCATAGAGCATTTCCACACTTTGTACACACTCATTTGATAGAATTTCAAACAAATCACGGGACAAAGTATATACAATGAAGAAATCGGTCCATAGTAAAATACGCCCAGGTTAACCGGGTCAAGGCAGACGCACGTTTTGGAGATGAACAACCGGAGCCCTCGGTTAGCCCACCCTCGATCTGCAAAGCACCATGATCGTGTATTAAAATTGCAATTCATTGACGCTAATGCTCAATACACCCTATCGCGCAATCAGAGCGGTGATCCTCACGACCTGGATGTCCTAAAAACAGTTTGCACGCCTTTTCTTGGAAAATTTAAAAGCAGNGAGCTACTATCTCACGGCTCATCAACGCGTGTATCTACTTTTGCGTCCTCTGACTTTGATGAGAATATTCTTGTAATGAAAAGGTAGTACGTAGGGGGTCCTCAGAAAATTCCCTAACAAATGCAACACAGAGGAATATTTCGGGGACCAGAACGAGATATTGTTCGTCCTCAGAGAGGCTGTCGTGGGGTGCTACTCTGATTTATGAGTAATGGGTAACATAGTTGGTGATTTATTTTGACGATCAAAAATCAAAAAGATCGCCGAGGGCAAATTTCTGTATCTCAAAGAATAACTATATACATTGCCACATTCATTACCCTTTGTGCGGCCAGGAACTGCGATTGTGCATTTCTGATAAGATTAGTGATGTCCCATCTGTAATCCTCAATAAACAACTATCCTCGAACGAGCACCGCCACTTGGAATTATAAAAGAGGCTATGACTTTTTGAAGGTTACATACTAGCTAGATACCAGATTATCAACTAACCCATCGGCACTACTCAAACCGAAAGTTAGAGTGATCACTGCTTCCGAAGATTCCTCAAAGCGGTGCCTCCTTATTCGGTGGATAAAATGATGCGGTGGAGGTCAACCGATAAAGGTCACCCCGAAAGACGTGTGTTTGAATCTAACCACAACCGTCTGACTTTCTCCATTCTTCGTGCAGTTTATGGCAACCCATTGATTGGCCGCTTCCCCGTTCCTGAAAATCGTATCATTAAGAGTATTTAGTAAAATGAAGCAAAATATAAAAGAGAATGCGAACGGGAGTGAACCTATCAGCTGATAACGCGCTATCCATTTCCCAGAACGAGATGACGTTCTAAGATTACGGCACTTTAACCCCAATGTCGCACGTGAAAACGATAGAAAATGAAACCCGCACGGGAGCGGGGGGGGGGACGGTAAGCAACAAGCAGGAATTTGTGTTTTTGCGTTTATTTAGAGACTGAATTGAGCGTTAATTCGAAAAAAAACAGGAAATCTACTACCCTGAGATGAAAAAAGAAAAGGCAAAATGAGTTGAAAATTGTGCCTGTTTACATGAGGTCAAAAGGTGCGATAAATAGAATGTGATCGATACAATACAGAAAATGATAGATACAGCGAAACCAACGACATAAAACTCTCTCTCGTGCAAAAAGTGGGCTGGACAAATGCCTCAGTCGTATGCGGGAGGCGACGGTTTGCGACCGAAGATAGCTTGCAACGCGTCTTCCAGTCGTGTGTATCGAAACTGGAAACGGGCATCAAGTAACTTTTTGGGTATGACGCGCTGGCCATCTAGAACCAGGGTGGCTCGATCGGATCCCAAAAGCGCACGGAACACAAACGCCGGGGCGGGCGGCGCACCGAACGGAAGTCGAGGCGCCCCAATAGCCTCGCTCAAGCAACGGGACAAAGCGGCCTGACGAACCGCGTTCGGTGAGGTGGCATTCACCGGTCCCACAGGGACGGAACAATTCGGTTCCAAAAGGAATTGTACAATGCGCACCACATCGTCCAAATGAATCCAAGAGATCCACTGCCGCCCGGTACCGAGGGCCCCGCCAAGACCGAGTCGATGGCTTGGGTATAAGGATTTGATAAAATTGGAATCTTTGGCCAGTACCACTCCTAAATCAATGAAATATGAAAGAAAAAAGACTTTCGTCAGATAGATTACTCAAAGCAATTCTGAGGAAAATTGCGAATTGCTGGGAAACTAACACCGGCACACCAATTCATCCTCTGCCCTTTACAAAACGAGAAAGATAGTATAAATTGCTTCTCAGTGTGATATGCAATGGGATTTAGACGAGTTACACCGAGCATCAGTGTGTGTATTTAAGTCAAGTAGAGGTAAGCACACCACCACCCGTAGGGTGATCCACGGAATAATGCAATCCGTGCGCTTCTCAGTGTGCCAGGTGATTCGCCCTATGAAAGGCAAACACTACGGAGTAGAATTGTCAACCGCGGTTCAGGTGCATTTTGACGTGTGCCTCAAATGACGATGGACGATCACAAGTCAAAAACCCGTTCAGCACTCTCCGTAGATCCATTTTGAAGAAAACGCTCTGTGCTCAGTGTTTCACAATTCGGAACAGTCGGCTTCTCGCTGTGTAGGGGAATAAGACGGTTGGGCTCTTTGCACGTTTCATGAAAGCTCAGACCCCCCAAGCGTTCAGTCAGACCAAATGTCTGTTTGTCATCGTTTCTCAAGTCCCACTTGCGATGACTGTGACAACTGTGACCAGTTTTTTTTTCTCACGAGCAGCGAAGAGTCAACACGGGGCGGCCGGCTCACCCCATCACACACACACAGTTCAGTTTTTACAACCATTAACCATGCACTTTCGTGTGCCGGTTTTGGTTACCCATTTGGATAAACGAACAAGATGAAGATTGGAATGTCGAAGCAAATTCAAGCGGAAGATGGGGAATCATAGAGTGGTGTTAGGAGAATAACGAGTGGATGCACGAGCGCCAGTTTGCGACACCCAGCCATATCACTCAGTGTAGCTAACCATCGGTGACCATCATCCCGAGGTCCCCAGCCAGGGAGCCTAACGAGGCCTATGTGACCTAGTCTCCTGGTTAGGGTTTTCATACCCTCATGCTAGGTCTTAGCTTGACCGCCCTTCGTTTTTTTCCAATCGCTACCAGCCTTGGCAAACATCGTTCGCCGCGGCAACCTATCTGGCGACGTACGTAACACATGTCCGAACCAGCGTAATCTATGGAGGTCGACCACTTGTTCTAGTGGACTACCGCGACTGCCTAAAACTCTACGCCTTACCTCAGCATTGGTAGTCTGGTTACCCCACCAGACACTTGCAATGCTACGTAGACAGCGGTGTTCGAACACCGACAATCTATTTTTATCCTGTTCC